CCCCAAAACCCCAAAACCCCAAAACCCCAAAACCCCAGCTAAAATAACGATTGGATTTATAATAATTATGCCACAGAAAACTAAGAAGGCCAAGGTAAGAGATTTCTAATATATTAAAAAGGCTCAAAAGAAACCTAAGAAGGAAGAAAAGAAGGTCAAAAAGAAAATCAAAGCAAAAGATGCTCTTAAAGAGCCTGAAGAGAAGAAAGAGAAAAAGAAAGTTGAGAAAAAAGAAAGCAAGATGAAGCTTAAATAAAATTAAGTATAAGGTAAGATTTAGAACTTGAAAAATTATGAAATTTAAAAAAATTTCCCTTATTTTAAGATTCACCAAGAACTAAAGCTATTGTGGCTAAATTTATTGATAAAATTAGATAAAACAGATCAAATCCCCTATTATTTCAGTTAGGATCTATTCAAACCCCAACTCCTTACAATCCTCCTTCCATAGAAACCCAAAGTAAAAATCGACCCCGAAATATCCGCCTTCTACAGCTCAGGCCCACCCACAAATCCATTCAATATCAGCCACCAAATATTTGAAGAAATCTACTCTAAGGTATCCACCCCCTAACCCCCTATTCCCACTACAAAATTCCTAACCCCCAGGAACAAATTTCCACTAAAATCCTTCAATTTCCTTCAAAAATTCTTAATTTTCATATAAACCCCCTAGTACAAGTCATTTCGCTTAGAATAATTCTGACTTTCCTTCTTACTGCGGGTGTGTTACTTCAGGTTTGAAATGAAGTTGTGGGCTAAGATAGGTTTAGGTGACCCAAGCTATTGATGATATTGCTATAAGTGAGAAGGTGGATGTGTACTCGGTGGACCAGATTTGTCAGGATTTGAAGGTGGTATTGGGTAGATGTGTTGGGTGTAAGGATAATGGGGATGTGACTGAGGAGATGAGAAGAGGATATGAAGAGGATATTGAGCCAGAGTCTCCTGGATTAGACAAGTTTTCAAAAGAGGCTATTAAGGTTGAAAAGAAGCTCATTGTGTTGAAAAAGAAGAAAAATCATTATTTTAATATTACTCAAGAGGTTGATGAGAAATCTCTCCCGAATGTGGAGAAGAGGTTGAGTAATATGGGGTTCAGATCTTTGAATACATTTGCACCTAGGCTTTCAAAAGCAGAAAAGAAGAAAGGTTCTAACACTCAACTCTCTTCTTCAATAGCAACAGAGTCTCCCGATAATTCCAACTCACACAGTTCGAAAAAGTGGCCTAAGCGTCCAAAACAGATGCCTATTCCTGACTTCATTGAGCCTGAAGAGATTGATGATGAATGGGCTAGACAAGAATTTGAAAGGAAACAAAACATCAAAATTCAGCTTGAAAAGAAACAGAAAGATAACCAGAGACGACTCAAAAAGAGAAGAAGGCTTATCAACAAAGCAAATAAAGAGCAGGAGTCTGAAAACTTAGAGAAAGTCACTACAGATTCCAAAGGCAATGTCTTACTTAAAAGAATGCTTAATGTAGATATGCTTGCTCCTAAAGGCTCAGCAAGAGTAATTATTTTGTTACTAATCATTAAATTTATAGATGGTTCACTACAAAGTTGATAAAGAGATGAGTGTGGGGAGGAACATTTATAAAGGAGTTTTCGACACCATTAAGAACAAGTTTCAATCAGAGACCTCTATTAACAGCCATAGGCAGATACAGAACTACAAGTCACTATCACGGACCAGGAATGATGGCAAAAATAATGAAAGAATTTTAGACGTGTATATGCTAAAGAAGCCTAAAGAAATGACAAATAAATATAACTCTTTCGTTGATAGAGAAGCTATGTGCGAAAGTCTTTACCAAGGTGTCACTCTGAGTAAGTATATTTAAAATTTAGTCTTTGTTGTCCTATCTCTGAAAGAAGATAGTCATTATCACATTCTTGGTTACAAAGCATTACTTATAATCCAACGGTTACTTGTATTCTATACTATTTGTATCAACTAAGCATAGATTTCTTATTAGGTTTAAGTAGTTGTTGACTTTATTTTACATGAACTTAAAAGCGGTGAATCTCACACTGTTCAGTACATAAATTTTTGACTCAAATAATAGCAGTAAAAGACAGTGATGCTATAGGATCGAGAAAGGGAACTTTAGAAAAATCTGCTATTCCATCCAAGAAAACACCACAAAATAATTTCATGGGTAAAAGACTCAGTAGGGATGAATACAAGGATATCTCTGCTCAGGAAACCAAAAATTATAAAGATAATAGACTGAAGGATTATCATAATAACTCTGTGAGGCTCCAAGAGAGCATTGAGAAGGAAGAAAGCAGATTCACCCCAAGAAAGGAGGTTCTGAATCATTCTAATAGTGATATCTCACCGAAAAATAGGCATTATATTAGTATGGCAGATCAGGGAGCTAACTTAAGCATGCCAGAATCAACTCCTAGGTTTACAGAAAACCATAAATATTCCAACAGGATGTCTATGAATAAATACAGTTTGAACTTCAGAATGGGTAAAAACAGAATGATTCATAATAACCAGCACTCTGTAAGCATGGTAGTCGGAGATGAAGAGGATAACTACGAACTTAAGAAATCTAATCCAATGATACTTCCTCTCGAGGATCTGAACTTGACCTCCCTCTCTATTGCTAATGTAGGAAGATATGCATTTACTGCTAAAAACTCTGTAACTACAAGGAAGCCTCCATTTTTGCCAAGATTGAAAAACTTCAAAAGAGTTGTTGATAAAGTCGATATAAACCCCAGTCCAAATACTTCAATTGAAGTGAAGTCTTCTGACAAGAAGCACCCGCTTCAAAGTTTCAGGTTTCTGAACCGAAACAAAGATGTAAAGACTAATATGAACTCCTTGCGCGTTTCCAGGAAATACTAGTCAGCTGATTTCTGTAAAGAGTTATTAAGTTTTTGAAAATATGAAGAAATTCAATTGGGAAGCCAATTCGTGGGGTTTTGGGGTTTTGGGGTTTTGGGGTTTTGGGGTTTTGGGG